TGGAAAAAAAAATTAAAAATCCTATTATTAGTTCCTAGGCTTGACCTAGCTCTTAATATTATTAAAACTGAGGAGACAGGGACCTTCACTAAGAAAAAAAGTGAAATTAGTTCAGGCACTTGATATTCTGCATGGGAAAAACGTGTTTGTATTTTAATTTTATCTGTTGTTTTGCTGATGTGATTAATTTTCTTCTCACCTGTTCAATATTTCACTGCCAAACAAATCCCAGCAACTGTTTTCATACAATCTAACTGGCAAGACTGTCGGTTTATTTCTGCTCTGTGACACCTCGTGTTAGGAAGAATTACTGAATCCATTTGCTGCATCATGTTAGGCTGTCTTTGATGGGTCACACTGCCATTTCTGAATGCAGAGGTTGCTGTGGTTCCTGATTTATCTTTTTTTTTTCAAGGATTTTTGGATTTGAATAAGTTCTTTCATGTCAGTAAGGCAACTACATATTAGCACATGCATAGTAAAGTAGAATCTGCTGATTTCAGAGGGAGGAGTTGAATGTGTGGATAAGTGTTGTCAGAATTGGGCCCTAAATTCTGTAATAAAACAACTAAAAAAAAAATAAACAAAGAAAATGTTATAATTAATTTAATTTCTAAGAGCCATGAAGGCTAGAAAGAGTAAGGTTAACACAGTAGCTCATAAAGTAAACAGAGATACTATATTTCACTATTTTTTTCGCTATGAAATTTTACAAGGGTCTGAATGTCTTGTACTGTAAATACAATTTCCTCATTAGTCATCAGCAGATAATGGGATACTGAACTATATGAAAGGTGTTTATTTGAAGATTCCAGAAGTTTTCATTATGCTCCATTTCCAGCTTTTGATTATGAAGTTTCGTGTTAGGATTTTGCTCTGGACTGGAGCAGTCCTTATCTGGAGTTGGGAATTTAGTAGAAATAAGTCTTGGGGAAAAAAATTTCATTCCTGCCATAGCTCTTTATGCAAGTCTGAGATTCTTTCACTTTCTATTTTATTATCATCAACTTTTTTTCATCGTCATCTTTTTTTCCTCTTTTGTCACAGGCATGCTCCTTTTTCAGTGTACTTTACATCCTCCAATTTTGCATGCTGACGTTCCTTAGAATCCATTCTTTTCTGAAAGTTTCAGATTTATTTTCCCATTACTGCCACTGCTACTTTAACTTCCTCATGTTAAAGATGATGCTTTATCCTTTCTGCTGTCCTTTCCCAAAATGTGCCCTCATCATATTCTTCTGCCGGCTTGTGGGTTCACCTTCCCAGCAGACTGAAATCATTGTCTTCAGCCAACAGATTTCAAGTCTTCTGCAGTCAACCCTTTGATACAGAGCAGAACTTTTGAGGCAAAATTGGGCCCCAGCTCATGCATCTGAGCTGTGCTTCCTGGAAATCTCCCACTGGAGTCCTGTGTTAGTTGGTTTACTTCTGCCTGTGCCGCAGGTACAATTTTGTTTGGATTTGCAGGCAAGGCCATCAAGATCATTTGCAGCTATTCCGGTGTCCTGTGTGTTGCTCTAGAGAAGCTGGAATGAACGTGAGTCTGGGACACCTCTTATGGCCTCACAGCTGTTGGGTTTCTTTACTCTCTCTGGCTACGCTCCAGAACAAGCTGAAGTCAATGGAAAGATTCGAATGGCACTCCATCTGAATAAATCAGCTGCATAAATGCTTGATGGAGGCGCACCAGAAGCAGGAAAGGAAAATTGTTCTTACACTGACTCTTGTTTTTGAATGTCTTTTAAAAATAGTTTCTCACTCATACTTCTTAAATAAAGTGGTTTCTCCTCTTTGATATGCTAGTGATTCTTATGTAAGCCTGACATAACTCAGTTAAAATCAGTATGTTACTCAGTTTATATTACAGCTATTTAAGTCTCAGAGAATGTAGGTTTTTAACAGTGCTACTACTTTATGTTTTCTGTTTTGAAAACCTTGGTCTACTTCTAGCCAATGAAATTAAAATAGTTTAATTCATTTCTGTTATAATGGTGGCACTTACCACTGTAACTACCCTTATTTCTTTTAGTTCTTATTGGTTTTGAGGAGCCGTATTTGTCAATCTGAAATATATCTCAGAGCGGTTGGAAAGACCGCTTCCCTGAACACGTACACAGAACAAGTATGAAGGGCCTATGCTTGGATTACAATCTATAAATGTTCGAATGACCTACACATTCGTACATTGGAATGGAAAAATGTAGTAAACCTTTTCAGAAGAGAACACTGTGGTCTAGAATCTTACATGCAGACTTCAGACTTGTATTCATAAATATTATGCACATGGCTGTTTGCTATTTAAGTAGCCTTGGAGTGTCTGATGTCAGCTACTTCCCCTAAATAAAATACTTAAGACATGTAACACCTGGTTTGGAGCCAGCTGGCTTTGGTTTGCTTCCTTTCCAAATGCTTTCATTCACAAGTGAGCAAAATGACTCCTCGTGCTGTGAAAAGGAATCTAGAAATACATTGTGAACACATTTTTACACAAAATAGGGACATATTTTAAATTTTTTAATAAACCTCAGTGAGAGTTTGATCCAGCTCCCACTAAAATCAGTGGAAAGATTTCTTTGACTTCAGCGGGATTTTGAGTAGAACCATATTTGCTAACCGCAGCACTGTGGGGAGCAGCATGAGCGTGGGGATGGAAAGAATCATTGCTTTTTGTCTAGTCCTCTGCCACTGGGAAGGACCTGGTTGGCCCCAGAGGTGGGGGATTTCTAACAAGGTGAGCTTCAGTGCTCTGAGACAGCAGCTGTTGCAAGGCAGTGACCTTGGAGGAATCCATGGCTGCAGTGAAATAAAGTTTCTTTGCCATTACTCACTCTTAGGAGGCAAGAACCACAGGACCCAAAGGCTCATGCAAATGACTATTGGATCAAAGAGTAATCTGGGGGAAAAAACAAATTGGAAGTTGAAAACTATGAAGAATTTAAGGTTGAATAAATGTCTGGGAAGGCATAATCTGATTCCCTGGAAGCATAAAGCTGTTTGCTAAGGGTGTAAATACAAGGCTAAGCGTCAGGAATAGAGCTGTACATTGGCTACAATGAGTCCAAACTTCCACTGCCAAATATGCATATAACCATGACAAAAGGTGTGTCTTGGTGCACTTTACTCTTAAATCTTCTTAGAACCAGATCCTGAAGTCTTAATAATACTTGTGGTTAGAAATGACCTCTCAGCAGTGTGTCTGTTAAGACAGGAACCAGTTTTTATGTACTGAGCCCTTGCCTATGTACGTTGCAGACTCAAGTTCATGCTGATCATTCTTGTCTGAGCAGATAGTTTGGAGATGCCCTTACAGTCTATTATATAACCCCGAGATACAATTTTTCTGCTGCTCTTTGGGTGGTTTTTTTTTGTTTTTACCTTTACTACGTTAAGCTTACTTTTATTTCCTGCTGCCTAGGGTCAGAATTGCCTGCATTGTGTTTCCTGTTACGGTGCCTCTCTTGTGATGTATCTCTCTTTGTTCTGCTCAAATACTGTGTTAGATCCTACCATAGGATGTTAATGAGTAGTCGAAAAGCCTCATATCTGAACAAAACTGCCGAAGAGTCTGCAAAAGTACTGTTTGCTTGGTTTTTTTATACTTGATGCCTCTTAGAATTGCTTGAAGGTTGTTATGGCTATTTTACAGCAAGAGATAATGCTCCCTTCAGCCTAGGGAAGTATGGAAGGTTGGATTTAAGGCTTTTTGTTGGGATCTGTTCATTCTACACTGCCTTAAAACCAGAGGTGTTTAGTTTAGCAAAACAGTGTGATCCTCAGGCTGTATAGCGGGTGTTTTATTTACCTTTAGCAGAAAACTTATCAAGTGATGTCAGACTAGTTACTTTCTTTGAGAAAGCTGATGCACAAAAGTTCAAAGGTACATGAGAAATTTGCATGAATTGCCTTTCATTTTTCACGTTCCTCACTGACAGATGTCAGGAAATTTTAAAGGCTTTAAAAATATTTTCTGTGAATGTTTTTGGTAAGGAAATGTTCCGTTCCAGTCTGAACTTGTTTCAGCACTTAGTGTGGTCACCTTGATAAGAGGAGCTTAGAAGTTTCTTCCATTCAGAGTTCCAGAACCTGAGGACTGTACCTGAGCACACTTGACAGCGAAAGGCAGTTTCCTTAGAGAGTGGTGTTCTTAGTGAGTGGCTAAATTACAAAGCTGATTGGAACTTATTTGGGAACGGTTGTGGTGTTGTCAGTAGTGTTGCAGGGCTTTTGGCAGCACAGTTTTTCAAGCCTGTTGGGTGTGGGAGGGAGCAGGTCAAATTCTCTAAACTAAACTCAGGCAGTTGACTTTCATGTGCTGTCACAATCTGTATTAGCTGGGAATTAAGTTCGTGGTATAGGGACTTCAGATTTACATAAATATTATAATTATCCTTGAAATAACTAATGCTAGTGCAGCAAACTTAGAATATTTTCAGATTAAATCCAAATACACAGTGGTTTCCTACTGTCTTCATTACACATCTATTAGTTAAAAATACCACCTGCTCTCATCCAGGAGTTTCTCTGTTCTTGTGGCTCAAGGAGTGCAGCTTCTTGCTCTTAGAAATGTGCAAGGATCACAAAGTTGAATTTGTCATGGTAGTTCTTACTGATATAGAGATACTTGGGTATGCAGGATGGCTGAGGCACAAGTTCTAATTGTTGGTTGTGATCCTAGGCTAACAGTGTACTGAGAATCTCAAAACATCATCTGGTGCTATGGGTTTTGGTAGCTCCAGAAAGCACTCATCACCTTGCAAAATAGCATCAACTTGTCCTCGAAGGAGTTCTAATCCAATTTTCTCTATTTGGTGATTCCAAAAGTGAGCCAATTATGTAGTTAAACTGTAACTATATTTTGCCACTTATTTTCCAGTAAAGTCACCCAACAAATGTAACATAGGTGAAAAGTGCTGAAACAAAGCTTGTTAATTAAAGAAGATCTTCAGCTGACAAATAGTTACGAAAATTAATTTTCTTCTTTCTTTCTTCTTTTTTTATAGGGTGGAAAAAAGTCTTACAGTGGGCCATGTGGGGGCCGCGATTGCAGCGCTGGATGCAAATGTTTTCCAGAGAAGGGTGCGCGGGTGAGTTTGTTTTCACTAATGCAACTAGTCCTTATGTCTCTTATCAATCTTTTTATAAATAAATAAATAAATAAACCCCAAGTTAATGTGTGTAATTCTCAATCTAATGACCTCATGAAACGAGAGAACAGATGAAGACCAGCTGCATTTCAAATGTCCCTGGCCAAGATTTCAAAAGCTGTTCTAAAGGTTTACAAATTGCTAGCTTTGTAGTGAGTCTTCAATGGAATCTCATTTCTTTATGTGATCTGAGCCCTAGTTCAAAAAAGTCAGATGGCTTTTAAGTAGATTACAACAATTAAAAAGGAAAATCAAAGTAGTGTGGACTTCCAGTACAGATTTTGCCTAGTCCTTGCTTTAATAGCTCCTGTTTGTTTGTGAAAGTGTTTTTGACTTTGGTATTTGTTTGTGAAGGAACAATAACTCCGAATGAATCTAAGCAGTGCCCTTTGAGAAAGTCTTCTGTTTAGCTGAAGCCTCTCTCTCTGAAGTCTGCGTTTGAAGCAACCAAACTTTTAAGCAAGTTTTCTGTAAAAATCTTCAGTCTCTTTTGACTGTATGAAAAGGTTGTAACTTTATCTTAATGCAGCTGGTTATTTCCTATCTTAGGTGATGCAGAGCTGCTGACTTATTTCTGCCTTCAATTACTACAATGTTAGTTTTTGTCCAGACACCATCTACTTAATATTTTCTCTTAAGGTCTCTAAAGTATTTTAGCATGTATCAAAATGAATCTTACAGATTTTGCTTAGGGGAGATGAAAGGAGGAAAGAGCTGCATTGTAGGTACTTGAAGAATTAGTTGGAAGGGCTTAAGGAGAAGGGGAATAAAACTAGTTGTCATGTTTAATAAAGCAGTTATTCTTGCTGAAATCATATTGAAAAGTCATCCTCTCAGGGAAACCAGAAGAAATTAAGTCTTATTTAAACACTAGCAATTATGATTTTTTTTTTCCTGTTTATTTCAGTGGCACAGCATGGGTAAATTTAAGGCGTCACTTTCTAGGACTGAACTTAGGAAAATGTTGCTATTTAGAAATGATCGTCGGCATCGAAACATTAAATGTTTCCCTAATTGGAGACAGACTTGAGCATGAATTCTTAATTGATAACTGATGATGTGTTTGCTCTGGAAGTATAAAAATTATTTCAAATCACCATGTGGCAGGGCGAAAACATGTCTAAACAGATGAGCGGAAGAACTTTGCAAGGATATCGGCTAAAGCCAATTGCTCAACACCTTTTCTGATTAGATACAGTAAGGGACAGGCCTAGTTTGGTTCTGGAACACAATATCCTGTAAATGCTTTGACGTTTAGATAGCAATGAGCATCATTCTTCTGTCTCTTTACATTCCCGGGGTTGAACTTGATTGTTTGAACTGGCCACAACACTGTTGACCTTGCAGTTTGAGCTCTTGGCATCTCTTTTGTTAAGATGTCACAAAGATTTTAGGCTGTTTTCATTGCTGACCTGAGAACTCATTTGGCTTTTAGCTGGTTTCTTATGTGACCTGTATCGGTAGGCATTTTCAGTCCTTCAAACACGTGTTCCATCCTACTAAGACCTGTCTGTGGAGTAAACTTTTTGCTAGAAGTGGTAATCTTTCCCTTTTACAACACTACTTCCATCAAGCCATACTGAGCCCTGCTGACACCTTCTTGGACATCTGCAGGCAGCTACTGGAGTCCTGCCATGCCAGAGGATAAGAAGGTGACTGGCTGAACTGGGAAAGGGGATGGTGTGATTATGTATCCTACAGCACAGCTTGTTTCTTGGAGGAGGCTGTACAGCCTGAGGCTAATTCCTTGGCTTCCTGCCTAGCTTCTCCTCCATTGCTGCAAAACCTCTAAGTCCGGAACAGGCAAGTGGGAGATGAGACTTTGCCAATGCCCTGAATCCATATTTTGTTTAAAAAAATGTTTCAGCTGTCAATTTTGCACAATTAACCAGATCAGAATAAAGCTAAGTTTTCTTTTTAAAAGAAAGAAATAGCTAAAAAGCACAAGAAAAATTACAATAAGCTGACAGCTCAATAAAAATAATATAGGCGGTGTCCTTAAATGTCCTTCTCCCTGGCTGCACTTCTGATCAGATCAAGCTGTGATGAACTTGTTTCTGACCAGATTTATTTAGGCAATAAAAATGTCAAAAGTGCCTAAGACCTGCTGCCTGGTTACTGAAAGATATTTCTAGAAATAGGATGTAGGCATGTAGAACCCCCATGTACCTGTGTTCTTGTTTTTGCTGTAGACTGTTAGTGCACATGCGAGATATTAACAAACAAAAACAAGTATAACCTCCTTATCTTTAAGATGGAGCTTGGTGGGAGAGTAGTCGCTATGAAGTTAGTCAGCTCTTTGTGGAATAGGTTGGGATTCTTTTTAGAAGGAAGGGTGGTACAGTGTTTGTCTAGCAGGCACTTAGGAAGTAGTTCTAGCACATCTCCTACAAGAGTAAAATTTCGTTTCTATTAGTTGTCCCAATGGCTTGCATTAGCTTTGAAAAGGTTACTTGAAAATGGTACCATGAAAAGCCTGGCTCTGTGTAATTCAATGGCAAAACTCCTGGGCCGCATTACAGCCATTCTCCCCTCTTTACCGTGTAAAGATTCATGGGTAACAGTCCAACGACTGGTGCAGAAGTCCAGTTCTTAGTGGAGAAGTGTTACTTTTACTGAAAGGTCCCAGCTAGAACCTTTTCTGGAGGTTTTCTCAGAGGTCAAATGAAAGATTAAACTGGGTTTGTGACCCTTACTACTTCAGTGCACAGGAAGATACGTAGTTAAGCTTACATGTCATATGACAGCTTAAGAGTAAATGTAATAGCGGAGGAAGCCCACCAAACTGATTTTGACCAGTTATAAACCTAGGGATTTTGGATATGGTTATTCAGTTCCCCTAAACTGCATTGTTAGAACTTATACTGACTTTCATATGAAATCTAACATAATGCTGTGCAAAGAAAATGCCAAGTAGCATCACAGAGAATATGAGAGCCCCTACCTACAGCTGGAGTCTCTAGGTGAATGAGTGGGACTCCTAAATCTCTGTGTCCCTACTCCCGTTCCTCTGACTTGCTGAGATACCAGCTACCAAACTAGTACAACAGGCAATTTTAAAAGGAAGTCTGCTGTGACAGAGTGAATGAGTGGGGCTCCTAAACCTCTGTGTCCCTACTCCTGTTCCTCTGACCTGCTGAGAGACCAGCTACCAAACTAGTACAACAAGGCAATTTTAAAAGGAAGTCTGCTGTGACAGTGGCGGTACCCTGGTGCATGCACCCTTTTGGGGAAGGGAGACAGTCTGAACAGAAACTTACACTTATTGAACCCACTTCTCTGCAAACAAGTCTTACGTACAGTCCTCTTTCAGAACAGCAGCTGGTGGGTAGAATCCCTTTCTGTATCAATGGCTGTCTTGCTGAGAAATGCACTGCAGATAAGTCAGCAGTAACCAGGAGGGCATTTTCCCTATTAGCAGTTTCAAGAAGCACTACATAGTAGGCAGCCTGCACCATTTCATCTCTACAGCTCATTTTGCATTTGTTTATGATGGTGTTGGCTTTTTTGTTTTTATATGCTGTCATCTACTTTCAAACACTCACAAAGACGAACTAGCAGACACAGTCCTTGTTGCATGTATACCTTCTCCTGATGCCTGTTCACTTATCTTGGAATTTATAACAGTGTTAGGGTTTGTTTTAAACTTTGCTCAACATGTGCTGGAGCTCTTCAGCTGATACTCATCTTTCATTTTTTCATTCTGTCCAAGTCCTGTCCTCACGTCCTCTACCAAAAACAGAATTTCAAGGAGAAAAAAAATAATTAGAAATTGTTTCCAAGGCTCCGCAAATTACTCAGCAGAGACTGTGTCCCAGGTGGCTTTTACAGCTTAGAATTGCTGTAAATTGGGAGAACTTGATGTTACCAATAATATTTAATTTTTTCCTGTGATATGTGATCATGTCAAATAATGTAAGTATTTCTTATGCATCATGTGTTTTTTAAAGCCCATTAAAATAGGATGTTATGATCAATTTAGAAAACTATTTATGGCCTTATAGAACCTCTTTCCTGTCTCAGAAAAAACCCACATGGAGGCAATTTCTGGCAACTGGTATGACTGGAAAGGAGTGTATCTGTAGAATGAGGCAGTTGGTTTTGAGGACACGGTGGACACTTTACGTAAATCGAGTCTGGTCCTATAAAGTGAAGGACCACTGGAGTGCATCAGGTGTGCTGTGGTGCCCATCTCCTAACCTAGCCTCACTCAAAAGAAAACCTGTTTATGTACTCCAAGACTATGCTGCAAGGTGAAGCAAAGCACAGTAAGTAGGAGGGATTGAGTAAAATAGAGAGATTTTGCTCAAAAATGCAGTCTCTGTCTGCATTAAAGGCTAGTGTACCCAGAGATACATGAGATTCCACAGGTTTCCTCTGAAGTTAAAATGATGATAGTAAATGTAGTGTACATTATCTATGGGCAATCAAAGAGTTTTTGATAGAACTACTGCAGATCAAACAAGCTAGAAGAGATAGACAGATCTCCAACATCCATGCACTGAACAGCGTAACCTGAGGTCAGAACTTTGGATGATTTAATCTAATTGTTATCTAGCATAAACTAATGTCGCATTGGCAAGAGATCTTAGATTAACTTTTGTCTGGAACTAATGCCCTCAACTTAATACTGGGTGTACAAAGTGCCTCTCTTGTGATAATTAGTTGAAGATTGGTTGACATTTCTTTGCTATGAAATTGTGATAATTACAACTTGTATTTTTTAATAATGTTTGCTGAATTCTGCTTTGGCTGGTTAAACACTCTAATTGGAACAGTTTAGGGATTTCTTGATGAAACACAATTTCATTGGAAGTGTCGACTCAACAAAATGAATTTTTTTTGCAGAAATGTTTTACACAAACATATTTGCCCCAGACAAAATTCTGTTAAGCTGTTGGTTCAAGCTTCTCTCTGTTTCTATGTGGCTTCCTACTACC